CACTGACCAACAGAAAAACCTGACACTAAGGGAGGCGGAATTCATGCCCAAGTCAGTGCTCTTCAAACCTTCCAGTATCTCCCAAATTCAGAGTGATGATGTTTGCACCACAACTGAAACCGCTGGGCTGTAAACCAGACCAAATGTTCTCTGCGTCACAGCAGGGGCTCAAGGGGTTTCCCAGCTAGGAATACTATTTCTCCAGGACTCCTATGAGCCAGGCACTACACCAGCACTTTGGAAGGATTAAGTCTATCCCAACCTTGCCACATCCTGGAAGGTGCGCTCTAAGTTAGGGAGACAGCCCTGGAAATCTTACTTAGGGTCCTGCACACCCCACCAAGGGAGCATTTCACGATTCCAAGGAGAGACACTGAGGTGCCGGTCAGCAAGCAGACACATTCTTACTGCTCATCTCAATTTAGAAGGCCGTGCCTCCACTCCATCATCAGGACCAATCATGTGTTCTCATGCTCCTCCCTCCATCCACACAGTCAGACTTTCCCTGAGGGATGCTCTATCACCATGTCCCTCCACTCCACCAACCCTTCAAGCCCATCTGATACTCAGACACAAGTCGTTCCCCCAAAAATCTCACTTGATTGCTACTTTGATACCATTTTCACTTTAAAGTTCCAAGGACTGCTCATCTCAACTAAGCCCTTCCCTGCCCTCCACACACATCTCATGTCCACACTATCCCCCACTTCTGCTCAGCTCCAACTCTGCACACAGCAAGCAGAAGCACCAGCTCAGAAACCCGAAATGGATGCTGGGGCCCATGTGTGACTTCTACATGTGCCACCACCCCAGCCTCAAGCACCTTTCCTTTTCCTTCTAAAAACTCTTGACTTTCAGGGCTGGAAAGATGGATCAGTGGTTGAGAACACTGGTTATTCTTGCAGAAGACCAGGGTTTGAATCCCAGCGCCCACATGGCAGCTAACAACTGTCCCTAACTCCAGTTCCAGGGGATCCGACAGCCTCTTCTGTCCTCCACGGGCACTGCACGACACGGGTGCACTTACCAAATGCAGGTAATACACACATACACATAAAATAAAAATAAAATATTTTAAAAAAACAACTCTTGACTTTCTCTTCATTGTTGACCCTTCAAAGATGCTCAGGCGACACCCTGATCAGTACTATTCCAAACCACTATTTACCTGCCCAGCTTCCCAAAGGCAGGTGTTATGCTGGCTTAGAACCAGTCCACACATGCTACCGGGTACCAGTCTCATGAACTCCAAGCACTTAAGCTGGTGCACAAGTTACATCTGCGGCCTAAGCTCACACAAGCCACCCACACAGTACCACATCTGCGCTATAAAATGCGTTGTTCCTCAGATCAGGTATGTATCGTCCCACCTCACTCACAGCTGTACTTTGTCTCTGAGCAATCATGGAGGTGTCAGCAGTCTCTAGAAGCAAAAGCAGTTGATACTAGTCAAAGTCAAGAGCCTGCGAGACCACAGAGGTGGAGGATCAGGTTAGCCAGGCAGCTCTTACAGCCAATGTAATCTCTGGGTTTCCCACCACTGTACTCTCAGAGCCACAGTCTGAGGGATTCATCCAGAAGAAAGACCCCTGGAAGCCCAGGGCTATCAGAAGACTCACAAAAAGACAGAAAGGGGAGTTTTCATTTTTTTTCACACATTTCCCAAATGGTAAGAATTCAAGAGCAAACATTAGATGAAGGGGGCTTTAGGAGGCCGTCTCCTTAACCAGTTTCAGCCAGAAAAGCAGAAGTATCCAGGGTGAGCCCTCCTGGGAGAAGCACAGGGACCATGTGAATATAGGGTTCCTGTCCGCAGTCAGACCAGACAGCAGCTCTGCTGGAGTTTCTCCAGCAGCTTTAAGGCCTCGGAGCCACAGCACAGCCTTGACTAGGTCCTGGAGTGGCAGTAGTTTTGCTTTCTCGCTGGTCTTTATCCTAAGGACAAGGAGCAGCTGATTCAACAGCTTGACTTGAACAGTGGAGTATGATCAGACAAAAATTACTCAGGCTGGCAAAATGGTGGACACTGCCTAGAGGAGGCAAGCACAGGGATTTCAGCGCAGCACAGCAGTGGAGGCGAAGACAGGCTAGTAAAGTCATAAGGCGTCTCCAAGAAGAAATGCACAGAATGCACTGGTGAGGGGGCAGGAAGGGGGAACATGTAACTCCAAGGTGTGTGGGGAGACTGAGGCAGTCCAGTATAGGAATCACAAGGGTATAGTTTATAAGTCAGACATAAAGTAAAAATCAGCTAGGCGTGGTGGCACATGACTTCAATCCTAGCACTTGAGAGGCAGAGGCAGGCAGATCTCAGTGAGATTGAGGTCAGTCTGGTCTCCATAATAAGTGCCAGGCCAGCTGGGGCTACCAGGAAAGCCTGTCTCAAAAAGACCAAAAAAAAAAAAAAAAACAAAAAAAAAAAAAAAAACAAAAAAAAAAAAAAAAACAAAAAAAAAAAAAAAAACAAAAAAAAAAAAAAAAACAAAAAAAAAAAAAAAAAAAAAAAAAAAAAAAAAAAAAAAAAAAAAAGCAAGCAAAAATTACTTTGCTGGGCAAGTGAAAATATGTCCTGCCCTGTGTCAGGCAGACAGATAAAGCCAGCTGCCAAGCAAACAGGACCCAATATGTCTCCCAACTGCTCACTTCTAGGCAGAATTCATTCTGAAAACTCCAACTCTGAGAAGAAAACCTCACACCTGAAGAGTCACAGTGATGTGCTGGCAGCTTGACTTCCCACTACCTCAGAGCCTCGGGGAAGGGTTTCTAGACAGTGCTACACATCTATCAAACTTTGCTGTTCAGGGACAAACACAAGCTGAGTCCACTTCACGTTCAGAGGTAAACTGCCTCTTTGCACACAGCTCCAATTTACCATGAGGTATCAAAACACTGCTTACGCAAGGAGGAGGCCAAGGCAAGAATTTTGACAGCTAGAGGCCAGCCTGGGTGCCACAGAGCGTTTAAGGTCAGCCCAGGCTACAAGGTAAACTGTCTCAAACAAAAACTGCTTCATTACACACACACCTAAGTCCAACCCTGCCCTACACAACACCTAAGTCCAACCCCGCCCACAAGGCCTGAACCAGCTCTACCTGCTTCTCTTTAGTGAAAACTCCCCCCTTCCAGGGGTATGTGGTCTCCCATACTGCAACGAGCCACAAACTTACCCTTGTCAGACCATAAGTCTATCTCTTTCTTCTTTTTTTTTTTTTTTAATACAGGGTCTCCATGTAGCTCAGCTGGTCTGGAACTCACTGTGTGGACCAAGCGGGCCTTGAACTCACAGAGATCCGCCTGCCTCTGCCTCTGGAGTGCTGGGATTAAAGATGTGTGCCACCACACCGGCTACAAGTCTATTTAGGCTAGGACAAACATTTAGTCTAAATGATCATGAAGCAAGTGGGAAAAACCCAGGGACTGGAGCTGAAACTAGAGCTACAGATCCATCCAGCACTCACCGACATCAAGATAGTAAGTCAAGCTATGTATGTGCATGAGACTGCCTTTGAGAGCCATGGTGAGAGGGGACTAGGCCTGAGCCCCACGCGCCTTCACTGCCTGAACTTCCTGCAGGCTCCTGAGAAGGGTAACAGAACAAAGGAGACCAAGAGGCAGCCAGAGATCCCCAGAAGTGACACCACCAGCCTTAGGGAGGCCAGGGGCCTCAGGAAACATGCCTCCCTCACCCAAGCACAGCACCATGCGTGGCTCAGAAACCTATATTCTTTTTGGTGTGTGTGCGTCTCTCTCTCTGTCACATGTGTGCAGGTGCCAACAGAGGCCAGAAGGGGGTGTCGGATCCCCTGGAACTGCAGTTAGAGAAGGTTGTTAGCACCACATGGATGCTGGGAACTGAACCTGGGTCCTCTGCAAGAGCAGCCAGTGCTCTTAACTGCTGAGTCATCTCTTCGGCCCTCAGAAACCGATATTCTTGAGTCAAGATTCTTTCTTATTTTGGACCTACTGCTAGAAACGTTACTCAGGCCCCCAAGATCCACCTTTTCTTGAAGCCACACTGTGAGGGCTGCCAGTCAAATGTGATGTGGGAAATTAGCCTTAACCATCAAAGGCTGATTTAATTGTAATTCAGCCCCAATCAGGCAAATGTTAACTCAATCTCCAAGAACTTTAACAGGCATCTAGCCTGGTATTTGATATAATGGCCAAGTTCAAATGTCAAAAGTCTGAATGGAAAAGTCCTAGCAATTCTGGACTTAGCTCAGTACTAAAAACTGACACCCCCCCCAACCACCCAGAGACAAGCAAACACACATTCAGTTTCTCTACAGATGCAGTTAAAACCATGCAGGTCCCCCATGGCAAGATCGTGAACGTACACTGGGTTCAATTTTCAGAGTAGAGCTTTTCAGATATCAGAAATACAAAATCCTTCTCTCAAAATACAGAACATGAGGACATGCGAGAGACGGATGGCCCAGAAGGCTGGGACCAAGGTGCAGACCAGCAAGTTACTCGCTGAGGGAGCCCAGAAGGCTGCCCATCTTCTCTGAGACTAAGCAAATTACTCGCTGAGGGCATCTCCAAGACTTAAGTTTCAGCTGACTTTCCCAAATGTAATTACAAGCAACACCTTAAAATTTACTTAGAATACTTTACAAAGTATTGATCTGATGAAAGGTTACCGTCCTCACCAACAACTGCTAAAAATGAAGCTAACAGCCAGGCATGGATGGCACCGCCCACCTTTAATCCCAGTGGTCGGAAACTTGGGAGGCAGAGGCAGGTAGATCTCTGTGAGATTGAGGCCAGCCTTGTCTACATGGTGAGTTCCAGGCCAGCTGGGGTTACAGAAGACCCTGCCTCA